CCTCACTGGGGGATTCTGGGCAGGGGCTCTACCACTGAGCCACGCCCTAGCCCCTCACTGGGGGATTCTAGGCAGGGGCTCTACCATTGAGCCACGCCCCCAGCCCCTGTCCATCTCTTTATTTAGTATACATGCTAATTAGTACACAGAATTAAGTCCACCCTTAGCACGGGTGTCTAGTCTGCGAGCCCTGTGAGCATTGTTCTAATATTTACAATGTGTCGGTTGAACTTCTGTTACTTGAAACTCTAAAATCCAAAATGGCCCCAAATAAGGAACTTGTGTGTTTGTCTGTCTGTCTGTCTGTCTGTGTTGCCCAGGCTGATCTGAAGCCTGGCTGAAGGGATCCTCCTTCCACTCCGCCTCCTGAGTAGCTAGGACTTCAGGGATGCACCGCTACACACAGTCGACTACACACAGTCCGCTACACACAGTCCGCTACACACAGTTCAGAATCTGCAACTTTGGGCCAGGTGTAGTGCTGCACTTCAGTAATTGCAGAACTTGGGAAGTGGAGGCAGGAGGATCAGGAGTTCAAGGCCATCTCAGCTACACAGCCAGTTCAAGTTCAGCCTGGGCTACATGATAGATCCTGTCTTTAAAAACAAAAATCTGGAACTTCATTTCTGCTTTGCATTGAGATAGGGCCCACTACACAGCCCAGACTTTCTTTAAGCTTGTGATCCTCCTGCCACACCCCCTACCCCATCTCACCCGCAGTGCTGGGGTCCCAGCAGCCAGGCTGTGTGCAGTCGCTGCCCTGGCTCCTTCACAGTCTGTTCCCTGTGCCTGGAACTCCCCTGCCTGTCTTCCAGCCCTCAGCTCACCGTTCCCTCTGTCAGGAAGCCTCTCTGACTCCCAGGATGAACGGGACTAGGGCCCCACCCTGAACCCCCAAACCCAATCCTGCCAACCCTGGGGATTTCCGTCCCACTGCCTGAGTGAGTGGCCCTCTGCTGGACCGTGAGCCAAAGCCGGCTCCATCCCTGCTGCCCCTCCCCCAGCCAGGAACAGGGGTGCCTGGGGTCACACACACAGTGGAACAGCTGGCATCTGGCCCCCTCTGCCAGGCTCAGTCCTGACTCCTTTCTGCCCACAGTTCCGGAACTTCAAGATCATCTACCGACGCTACGCTGGCCTCTACTTCTGCATCTGCGTGGACGTCAACGACAACAATCTGGCCTATCTCGAGGCCATCCATAACTTCGTGGAAGTAAGTCACCCCCCGGAGTGCTGGGGTGGCCACTGGCCCCCTCCTCACCTCCCTCTGTGTGCATGGTCTGTCCTTCCAGTCTTCCTCCCCCTCCTCACCTCTCTCACCTACTCCAGCCAACTTCTCTGCCCGTCCCCCAGCAGCTCTGCGTCCGACCCGAGTCATGGTGTGAGTGAGTGTGTCTGCACAGTGGTGGGTGTGCGGAGGTCAGAGACAACGTGAGAGTCAGTGCCCCGGCCTGCTCCGGGCTTGGCAGCAGGCGCCTTACCAGCTGAGCCCTCCTGCTGGCCCTCCGCTGCTGTCTGCTCTGTCACTGGGCCCGTCCGCTCTCTCTGATAACTGGTCTGTGTGTGTGGCCGGGGGTGGGGGGTGGGGGGTGGGGGGTGGGGGGGGGTAGCGTCTTGTTATGTAGCTCAGGATGGCCCGGATGATCTAGTTAGCACAGCTGCCTCTTCCTCCATCCACTGAGGTTTGGTTTTGTTTGTATGTGTGTGTTTGTACAAGTGTGACATATATGCCGGTTCCCAGGGACCCAGAAGGCACCGGACCCCCTGGTGTTGGAGTCACAAGCAGTTGTGAGCCACTTGACGTGGGTGCTGGGAACCAAACTTGAGTCCTAAAAGAGCAACCTGTGCTCTTAACCACTGAGCCGTCTCTCCATTGCACACACCCTCATATCGCCCTGGCTGGCCTCACATTTGGCATATAGCTAGGGGGTGACTTTTAATTCCTGATCTCCTGCCTCTACCTCCCACATGCTAGGATTACAGATGTGGTCCTCCAAGTGGGTTTTATGTGGTGTTGGAGACAGAACCCATTCATGAATGCAGACAAACCCTGGGCTACATCCTCAGGCCTCCCTGCCCGTCTTATTTCATACTTTATTTATTAGTATCATGTGTGTATAATGTCTGTGGTATGTGTGCGCGGGCACACATGTGCCACAGCTCACACGTGGAAGTCAGAGAACAGCTTTGGGAGCTGGTTCTCTCCTCCTGCCGTGGGATATAGGATTTGAACTCAGGTTTGCGCAGCAAGCACTGTTACCCAGCAGGTTAGCCATCTCACCAGCCCGTCAGGCCTGTCTCTCATCCCTGGCCTTCATCTTCCTCTCTCAGGTGTTAAATGAATATTTCCACAATGTCTGTGAATTGGACCTGGTGTTCAACTTCTACAAGGTAGGCTCTTGGGGAAGTGGGCAAGAGGCAGCCATGGGGGGGGGGGCGCGGGGGTGGAGCCACCAGAGATCTGCCGGGCCCCCCTGATACTATTTCCCTGCTCAGGGCGTAACCACTTGACTCCCGAGGGCTGGCTACTGCAGCAGCCAGCCCTTCCTTCCCTGACCCCAGCTCTCCCGGCCTCCCTTCCTTGCCCAGGTTTACACGGTGGTAGATGAGATGTTCCTGGCAGGTGAAATCCGGGAGACCAGCCAGACGAAGGTGCTGAAGCAGCTGTTGATGCTGCAGTCCCTGGAGTGAGGCGGCCTCCGCCCAGCCCGGCCTGCTGGACCAACCTGCCTGCTCACCCCCTGCCAGGCCCGAGGCTCACCCCAGCAGCCCCTCCCTTCCTCAGCTGCCCCAGAGGAAGGACCCAGCAGGGTCTAGGCCGCATGGGAGGAGGCTGCCACCCACTGCCTCTGGGCCCTCCTTTGATGGCCGAGGCCATCGTGATGTCCCGAGTAACTGTGCCATTGTTGTGTGATGCTGTGAGCGTGCGTGTGTGCAGCCCCCAATAAATCTATGGTCCTGCCTGGCCCGGCTGTCTCTGAGCCCTTGTCCATCTTCCCTCAGGAAGCCTTGGTCCATCAATGAGTCAGTCAACAACACATCTCATTGGGCTAAGAAAAGCAGGGACACCTAAGCATACTTTAGACATGCTTCTGCCCACAGAGGGCCCCCAAGATTGAGGGGTAACTGGTGTGGACACGAAACACTTGCCCAAAGTCCACAGTTCCTCGGACCTGACAGCACCGAGAATCTGCAAGCAGTGCCAGGCTTCATAGCCAGCCCTGGATTATGTTTTGTTTGAGAGATGCCCTTGCTATTAGCTTCACTCACCTGCCTCTCCCTCCCAAGTGCTGAGATTAAGATGTGAGCCACAGGGCCAGCTCAGCCCCTGGATTCTTATCGAGAGGAGCCTTGCCTCCGGCCCCCGAGGTCAGGGATGGCAGTGTCTCTCCACACCCAGCTTCTGAGCAATTTGTGCTTACAAGATTATGAGGAAGGGACCCTAGTTGTCCCTTTTTCCAAGGGACGTGCATAACCCAGGAAGGTGACAGGATTTACCAAAGTTCATTGCCTGTGTTAGGTTGACATGGAGCTGCTCTTGAGAGCTGGCAGGTGGTTCCAGGATGCGTGTTTCTACCTACTAGACCCTGTGGTCGCTGAGAATGTAGGAGCTATGCGTACTGTTTAGTTTCTCATCAACAGCCCTGCTGCCAAGTGAGCTGGGACAATTCCTGGTGTGACTATCCTTAGCCTGGGCCGACTCCAGCTTCTACCCACTGAGTATCACAGTAGACCCTCTGGCCAGTGTGACAACAGAAGATGGCCCTAAAACCTGGCCTGGGAGGCACATGACTCTAATGCCAGATACTTCAGAGACTGAGGCAGAAGGATCACAAATTGAAAGCTTGCCTGTGCTAGAGAATGAGTTCAAGGTCAGTCTAAGGAAATAGGTGAGACCAGATTTCAAAAGTCAAAAAGGACTGTGGCATGGCTCAGTGGTAGAGCCCCTGCCTAGAATCCCCCAGTGAGGGGCTGGGG